AATAATATATATTGCACGCTTGTACATGTAGTGTAGTGTGACTAATGTAGGAACAGCAGCAGAAAGACGCCTGAAACTTGCATGTTTTACGGACAGAAAAAAGACACCCATCCACCAAAAGTAAAAAAATTACAGGTTTCTGTTTACCTCACTTTGGCAGGACGGTAGACCTCCCGGGGCAGCGCTGTATCCCAACCTACACCTGGGTTTTCAAATATGTATAAGACCAAAAATAAAAACTAACTAATGAAGGGTTTTCTTTAAATACCGCTATACCTGGGCCCTCTTTTAAATGCATATTTTAAATTTTTTTAATGACAACTAGCTTATTACAGTAATTTAAAAAAAAATCATTTCAATAAATAGTCTGCACTAGTGTACCAAAAACAAAAATAACCAAAAAAAATTTGGCAAATAACTTTGTACCAAATTGCAAATTAAATTTTTGACAAAAGTCATTTTTTACCCGAAATTAGTAGTACAGCAGATATTGTAAAAAAAAAAAAAGTGTTACAAAAAACTGAAATTAAACGAAGCCAATAAACCCTTTAAACCATACGAGTGCAGCCAAGTGAAAATTAAAATTTGACCCAGTCACTTTTAAAACTTATATTAGACACAACTAATCCAAACTAAACAAAAAATGTTTTTAAAAAAACTTCTTTTGGATGTACGACTAATTTTTGATATCCTGTACCCTTTTCCGAAAGAATTAAAGAATTATTTCTATCATTTTTTATGCACTATCTGAATGGCTTCCGCCAATTAAAAAACTAAATTCCCGATTATTACTTAGCAAATTTTCAAGATTAATAAGGTTATTAATGCACGAGGGGGCATGAAATGGCAATTTAAAAAACAACACTTTAAAATCTAAAATAGGGCATAAAATCAAAGCACATAGGCAGTTAAAACAAGAGTTACAAAATTAACCTGAACATTTGTGAAAACCGGTTCGAAGACAAAAAAATAAATACACAGTATTTTTCGTTTTTTATTTTTTTTATAAAACTAATACGAAGGCAGTGTTCACCAGATTTCATTTAATTAACAAACCCCCGGAGTCTAATTACACCATTTTAACTACATAGGAGGCATTCAATGACTACTAAAATCACTTGTATGCTCAAAAATGCATTCTAAATATGTATTATTTTGGGATTTACGGTTATAATTTTTCCCCCATACCATTTATGTTACATTATGTCAAGGGTCAGATTACCCTTGATTTTTCCTTATACAAGAATTTCAGCATTGCCCTGGATGCGACCCAGAGTGGTCCATGGGACCAAGAAACACACACTGTCAATACGTTTTTAATCGCCCCCTACATTCACCACTGTTTTCACAATTCTTTCTTATAATATAAAAATGTGTAAATTATTCTTTTTTTTTTTTTAACACACCGGCCATCTCCCACCAAGGCAAGGTGATAAAAAAAAAAAAACACCTTCACCATCATTCATACTTCACTGTCTTGCCCAAAAACACACAATAACACGCTTGATGTCACTTAAACCAAACCCAAACACCCCCTTTTGAGTGCAGGCACTGTACTTCAACAATAAGGAAGTCTTTATTAATCATATGTGCAATATCATAACTCAAGTCTGGTGGATAACATCACCTTAATATTTAACATACAAATACTACCTGGGTTAATGGAGGGTTTTTTTTGGGGGGTCAACGCCCCCCCTGGCCCACCATGACCGGCCTCCCTGGATCAGGCCTATCACCAGGTGTTACTGTGGCCGCACGCAGTCCAACATACGAGCCCAGCCCCTGATCCAGCACGACTTTAGGTCTGTCCAGCTCTTCCCCGAAGGCAGCCAGGGGTTTATTGGTAATTCCCTAAAAGCTTGATGGGAGGCGTTGAACAGTCTTGGGGCCCCGACACTTATGGTGTTTTCCCCTTTTGTGTACCAAGGGGCTCCTTTTTTAATTGGGGATTTTGCATCGCCTGCCCCGTTTTTACTTTCATAGGGGGTGATTCTGTGTGCAATTTGGGGCCATTCCTACCAGGATTTTCCAAGTGTAATTATGAAATTTTCTCTTTCCCGCGTTCCAACGATACAAATCAAGTGCTTCCAAGCGTTCCCCGTTTTAAGGTGCTTGACAGAATTTACGTGCAATAAAGGGTCTTGTACACCCTAGATCGAGATTTCACTTTCTTTGATGGGGATGTTATGTACAGCATATTCCAGCCTATAGAGAAAAAGTGATTTGAAAAGGTATCATTGGGTTGGCATCTCTCGTTTTGACTTCCATTATCCCCCTCATTTCTTTGACTTTGATCGGGGCACTGTTGGTACAGTATACCCTGTCAAAAATTTTATCAGTACTATTTTTTTACCCATAATTCTATTTTTTTATTAGATCTGCTTCCCCCTAGTAAACTTTCACACGTAGAATTACTATTTAATTTTCATTTGCACATTCTGAAAATGGCATATTTTTCCAGTAGATGAGAGTACCTGATCCGAAGCCCCAAAATAACATCCAGTAAAAATTCTATGGGTTCAGCAGGCCACAGCTGGCCGATGCTCTCATTCACATTTTGGTCACCAAGGAGGGCATGTGCAGTTTTAGGCGAAGAGAAAGTAAACACTATTGTAGATGTTTAATACTCAGACTCTAATGAAAGATTTGCAAATTAAGTGGTATTATCTAATCAGATACCTAAGTTAAACATGTTCAGGCAAAAAACACATGCAAATATTGCAAAAATAAGAAACACTAAATATAACTTGAAAGAAAATACAGAATAAATAATTTGGAGTTATAGTGTGTATACATAATTTCTGCTACACTGTAATACTTTAAAATAATTATTTATAAAAAATACAGATTTTTCAAGGTGCCTGCCAGTAACAGTTAAAAAATTAACTAAGCATTAAAAATTAGACAGCTACATTAAAATTATTTGGCGGTCACATGCAATCACTACCCTATATTTAGAAAATACTTGTATATAAAGATACTGTAGATAATAAACAAGCCAACTCAACCTATGATCTCAGCATTGCAATAGGCTAAAGTTAAATCTAAACTTTCACGTACTTTCAAATTTCTAATTCTATTTAACAAATAATTATACATGTCTAAGTACAAGCATTCTTCTAGGTTTCAGTCAACATTACCTTTCCATCATCATAATATCAATTAAAATGAATACTGCAACAATGGCTTTTGTACAAGATACTAAGAATGTAATGTAATACCACATAACTACTTTGACACTGTTATTGTTCAGTTTGAACACATGCTAGTAACAAGTAGTGACAGGAAGCATATTAGTAACTGTTGCACCTGCCTATCTACTTGGTATGTGTTTCGAGGGTCAATGTCCCTGCAACCCATTCCTTGACCAGGCCTCCTGGTGGATTAAGTCCTGATCAACCAGGCTGTTATTGCTAGTCACATGCAGTTCAATGTTCAAACCCCCGCATGGCTGATCAGGAACTGATTTTGAGAACTTATCCAGTTCCCCCTTGAAGACAGTGAGGGGTCTATTGGTAATCCCCCTAATGGATGACGGGAAGTTGCTGAACAGTCATTGGCCCCTTATAATTATTGTGTTGTCTGTAAGTGTATGGATGGCTCCCCTGCTTTTTCATTGAGGGTATTTTGCATCATCTGCCAAGCCTTTTTCTTGCTTTCATGGGGAGTTATGTGTATGCATGTGTGCAGATTTGGAACCAATCCCTCTATGATTTTCCAGGTGTAAATTATGATGCATCATTCTCCCATTCCAAGTCAAAGGACTTTTAAACATTCCAAGTAATTTAGAGGTTTCAATTAGCTTTTATGTGCAGTGAAGGTGATCTGTACAGTCTCTAGATGTGCAATTTCACCCACCTTAAAAGAGGCTGTTAGTGTACAACAATATTCCAGCCTAGAGGGAACAAGTGACAAAGAGGATCATTGTGCAGACACAATACTTCAGATAGAGTTTGCATCTTACCAAATATTATATGAAATAATCAATGCCCAGATGCAGTAATCTCTACTGTTACTAATAACACTAATGATAATGATAATAATCATAATCATAATTACACTAATGATGATTACAATAATGATTATCATAATGATTACAATGATAATCATGATTACATTAATTATCGTAATTATTACACTGGTAATTATAATCATAATAAATCTCAAAATACATAGAACTGATGGTGACTTTTGCAAGAGGCCAAATAATACACACAGCATTTTGAGCACACCAAAACTATTTAATACTATATTTTAATAAGGGAAAGCACTAAACCCAAAGGGGTCATATAGTGCCTGGGAAATAAGGTACATGACTGTGGAGCCAGTAAACCTTGCAAACTGAGTACAAGGTGAAAAAAAAAAATGCAAAATATCTGGTTGCAGGTTACATGTAAAAAATAATTTGGTAATATTTAGGCGAAAATTAAGACTTTGGAAGTAATAGAAATCATAAGCAAGTTTTTATTTAGCCTTTATGTAAATATCTTTTTCTACAATGGTGTTGAGGGCACACACAAGTTGTTCGCCCATTAAAAAAAAAAAATGCTTTATGTAGACTTAACCTAGGCTAGCCCCCACAAAAAAGTCAATGTGACTTGTTTCCCGTGTGTTTCAGTGACAGATGAGACAAGATGTGTGTGAATGTGGTATGTGGGGAGGCAGGAGGGGCATGCTAGCCCCAGGGCAGGCCAAATATCATTATTATAATCATTAGACGATTCTAAACCCGTACGGCACACAGCGCCAAGGGAATGGAAGGAAACAGGCTCAATCCAAAAGAAGAGGGGATAAGTTCGATTCATTGGATGCTGAGCCTCTAGTGGGCTTCAAGGTACATCCGTGGACGGGTAGGGTAGGCCTAGGGTAGGCCTAGACTAGACCTAGGAGGTCAGGTTGTGCTAGTGTTGTTTACGAGCGGTCCAGCGACCAGGCTTCGCTCCTCGCCACCCATCATCTTTTTATTTTTCCTACGCTCTACACAGCTGACATACTCTTACCTTCTTTTTTAAGACGAGTTGTCGTTGATTCTCGCCTAGATTTAGCATTTTCCTCGTCTTCTGAGTCACCTAGAACGAATAATAACATTAAAATTGGGACAACAATCGCCGTATTTTCACAGATTTCACGTGCGAACCCTCACTTTCCATCTCAAAATTTGAGGTCCCCAGCGCCTTCACGGCTATCACAGTCAGTTGACAAGCAATCTAAACTATCGCACTTACTTGCTGGACTATTCATGCCGAGCCTTTCGGCCCATAAGGACCATTTTTGTCCTTCAAAATTTGTAAGGCTGTCATCCAAGGCAGCCATCTTCACTTTTTCCACTAGTTATCGTGACGTCACGGACATTCAGGCCAAATGTCGAATGCGTACGACAATGATCAACAAGCCCTTAAATGCCCACATATTACCCTTCCTCTGTGCCATTAGGCCCTTTTAATCATCCAGAGAAATTTGACAAGTGTCGGGGAGCTATAAATGGCAAGCATATGGCTGGAAAGTGAGTTTGTTTGGCTTTGTTGTTGTACGTATTTGCGCTCTGGCCCGAGTGACATGAGCCGGAGTGATGGTTCCTTTCTACAACTCATACCTGTTTATTTACCAATAAAAACGTGTTATCTGTCATTATGCGTATTTCTGGCCTCAAATATCCTCGAGAATATGCTAATGCTGGCTAAACTCCTACGCCTGTGACCGCTACACCGAACTGTTTTTATGTTGGAGGATTAATATCGCATTCGGAGATGTAATTTAACATGTTATTTTTAACATTTCACAGACTTGAAAGTGGCCATTTGTATTCGCGTGACACTCGCAAGTTGTTAATATACGTGTGTCTACACATTTTGATGGGATATATGAGCTAAATGAGTTACATAGGGGTGTATTTACACCTGGCTTGAACAGTTTAGGTAAACAATAACAAACACCGTTACTTCAAACAACAAAGCAATCTGATGTTTAATTCCGGTAAATAATAGCTAATCTCTTTCTTATCGCTACTTAGGGAGTTTCTAAGAATGGAGTCCTCTCTTAACTGGAGACGAGAAACTTATTATATTAGTAAACGAGTTGTAGCGTTGCTCGCTCATAGAGGCTCGTTAACCGCAGTTTTCCCAGTGTATAGTTCAAGGTTGTTTCCTTTCAAGGTGAATAATAACAAACTGAGGCTTTGAGGCTAAGCAAGGGCTCTTGATCCGAGGAACTGGAGCAGCCCTGTCCTCTGATCAGACCTAATTACTTCCCATTCCCTCAGCGCCGTATGACTCCAATGGGTTGGCTAATGTTGAGTTTAGTTACTAGGTGGACTTCGGTCATTTACTTGTTATTTATCGTAGTACATAGGAGGTATCCAAACCCAGGCAATAATATTTATTTCCTGTGCAAATCTTTATTTTGAGAGATATTAGTCACATAAGTACTTTCACGAGAGGAAAATTGCACATGGTGTAATGAAGGCCGACCAATCAGTGCTAAAATTGTAATATGTCATTCCAATAATATTCTTGGTAAAAGGAATAAAAGCAGCAGTAAGGTTCACAATGTTTCCCAAGTATAATTCATGTGAATTTGTTTATGACATGACTGGTATCTTAGCACAGCAGTTCCTGCATCAGTGATGGGAGTACCACTGTGGAACATGTATTTATTAGGTAAAGTTAATTTAGGGTGGATTGGGTTGGGTTTATAATTGGGCTGGGTTACAATCCTACCTTCCCAAACCTAGTTCGGTTGGTAGTGCACTCAGCTCACACACTGAGGTCTGTGGTTCGATCCCCGGTACGGGTTGAAACATTAGGACGTGTTTTCTTAAGGGGCCTACTGTCCATGCTCACCTAGTAGTAAAATAGGTACCTGTGTGTTAGCCGACTGGTGTGGGTCGCATCCTGGGGATGAAGTTAACCTAATTTGCACGAAATGCTGTGCATAACAAGGGGCTTTCTAAATAATACATCACTGATGTCAGCTAGGACTGTATAAGTTGGATCATGTACTTGTAGAATAAAGATAATTATTATTATAACCAAATGTAACCTAAACCCCCCCCCCAAAAAAAAAAATAACAAGTTGCACAAAAAACAGCTATTGCAAACCCCACTTAATATTGTACACAGCAAACCATACATTATTACCGACTTCTACCTAGTAGCTAAGCTTGGTATTGATCAAACTGTTATTTATTATTCATTTACACTAATTGAACCCATTTTTAAAGTACATTATATACATTGTCGCTGATCATTTTTATGGCAATTTATTCCCTTCAAGGATGGGGTGTTTTGTTCCAGTATTCACAAAAATGAAGGAACAATGCAGTAGGCCTACTACCCCTTGCTAGGAAGGTCAAACTCACACCTACACCCCCGTCATATACCCTTCCAACCTATATATATAAAGCTACCCAAAGTGGGTTTGTCCCACTCATGTACAACTCTATTGCCAAACCATTTCTTTCATATATCCTTTCTGAATCTAAATTTCAGTTCCCTGAATTGAGCCTGAGTACCTTCCATCCCCCCCAGGCGCTGTATAATCCCTACGCATTTAGCGCTCCTCCATGATTATAATAATTTTCCAACTTTAATCCATTACTGAGAGTTCTGTCTTGGTTAGATATTTTCAGACGCTATTTATATATTATTTGACGCCGGGAAGAGATCTCAGTCTGAGTAATTGAGCTACCATCCCCTTCCCCGGATCAAATCTCATTGCCCTGTAACTATACTGATAATAATATGACACCGTATTTACGATTCTGTATCCACCACAATACACATAACTTATCTGATTTTTTTTTTTTTGCTTAAATATTCAAATAACTTAAAAGTGCCATTGCCGTATAGCTGTGTCCTTGTGCGTTTTTGGGGCTGAAGTGCTTGCGATGTGCGTTTTGTGTCGCCTTTGAAAAACAACATGCCCCTGAACCATATCCAGTCATTGCGGGTTGAAGTGCTTCCAGTCAGTTGCTGTCAGCACCCGCAGAGTCCCTGTTATTTTTTATGTCAACTTCGTTATTGTTTATCCAGGCTTAGCAGTTGGGTCTAGTCCTGACTCTTTTCTCTTCAACTCAAGACATTCCTCTCACCATCTATTCTTCGCACTGTCCCCACTTGCCCCTCGCCCCTCGTGGGTCCTTACCTGTGAGTCCTATCCTATCCTATCCGATTCTGTAGATCGATATTGTTCCGCTAAATTTTTATTCAATTATCTTTTACAGGAATATATTGCATTTGAATTATCTCTCCTCAGATGTATGTAAATATTGTTAAAATCAAGTAGGTTAGGATCAGCTTTGCTGTGTAATGTCCTTTATTATGAATATATTGCCTGCATGCGTGACATTTTTCAAGGTTGGAGTTGCATGCTCACCTAGCATGCTTCCCATCATGCAAGCATGATTATTATTATTATTATCATCATTATCATTATCAATATCATTCAAATTCATCTTCATGTATATATTCACAGAAAGCACTAAACCCATGTGGACCATTCGTCACTACAGGTAATTTATTTTTCAGTTCCCATCAAAACTGGATACATGGCCTTGTGTGGTTATCCTGATATATGTGACGCTGGACGAGGCCACAGCAACAACTGTATTCACACGTCAATACGATCTGATATTTATAAAGGAGAGGTCAGGTGAGAATTTGTATATGAGACTAATATACGAAACGACTATAGTTTTTCAAGACGAAAGTAGATATGTCTATCGGAGTAGGGTAAAGGCTTATTGTATTTTTATGTACTCTCTTTTTTTTGCGTTACAGCTTATAGGATAGGGTTGGGATGAGAAATGAACTGGTCGCACAGGATGAGGATGTTTGAAATAATCTGAGTACACAGGATGAACATGGAGTGCACAGTAAACAAGATATGCTTAGGATGGCCATGAGATGCACAATAAACTTGCTACTTACAGGATGAGTATGAGATGTGTGGAGTGGAAGGTGTGAGTGTGGAGGAGTAGAAGCTGTGAATGTGGAATCGAAGTTGTAAATATGGAATGGAAGTTGTGAGTGTGGAGTGGTGGAAGGTGTGAATGTGGAGTGGAAGGTGAGTGTGGAGAGGTGTAAGTTTTGAGTGTGGAGGAGTTGAAGCTGTGAATGTGGAATCGAAGTTGTAAATATGGAATGGAAGTTGTGAGTGTGGAGTGGTGGAAGGTGTGAATGTGGAATGGAAGGTGAGTGTGGAGAGGTGGAAGTTTTGAATGTGGAGGAGATGAAGCTGTGAATGTGGAATCGAAGTTGTAAATATGGAATGGAAGTTGTCAGTGTGGAGTGGTGGAAGGTGTGAATGTGGAGTGGAAGCTGTGAATGTTAGTTAACTATCTTTATTATGCACCCCATACCCATCCTGTGGGCGGTAGTCAAAAGATTACAGAGGTACATAATGGGTCCACGAACTAGGCACCAAAGTTTTGATAGCTGAACAAGTTACAAAGGTAATGAACTCCAAGTAGATCTGGTCACAATCATGACAAGTTACAAAGGTAATGAACCATCTACACGTCTATACATGGTTACAATCATGAACAAATTACAAAGTAATGAACCATTCACACGTCCACACCTGGTCACAACTGTAATAAGTCATTACTGCAAATATTAATTGGGTCACACACACACACACACCATAAGGAGAGCAGTCGTAGAGCCAGAAATGAATATGCACAGAGGAGAAGGGAGGCCCAACGACAATATGAAAACGACACAGCAGCGAAAGCCAAATCTGACCCGAAGTTATTATACAGCCACATCAGGAGGAAAACAACAGTAAAGGACCAGGTAATCAGGCTAAGGAAGAAAGGAGGAGAGACAACAAGAAATGACCGTGAAGTATGTGAGTAACTCAACAAGAGATTCAAAGAAGTGTTCACAGAGGAGACAGAAGGGGCTCCAGCAAGACGGAGAGGTGGGGTACACAACCAAGTGCTGGACACAGTACACACAACCGAGGAAGAAGTGAAGAGGCTTCTGAGTGAGCTAGATACCTCAAAGGCAATGGGGCCGGATAACATCTCTCCATGGATCCTGAGAGAGGGAACAGAGGCACTATGTGTACCCCTAACAACAATATTCAATACATCTATCGAAACAGGGAGGTTGCCTGAGGCATGGAAGACAGCAAATGTAGTCCCAATCTTTAAAAAAGGAGACCGACATGAAGCACTAAACTACAGACCAGTGTCACTGACATGTATAGTATGCAAAGTCATGGAGAAGATTACCAGGAGAAGAGTGGTGGAACACCTAGAAAGGAATGATCTCATCAACAGCAGCCAACATCGTTTCAGGGACGGGAAATCCTGTGTCACGAACCTACTGGAGTTCTACGGCATGGTGACAGCAGTAAGACGAGAGAGAGGGGTGGGTGGATTACATTTTCTTGGACTGCAAGAAGGCGTTTGACACAGTTCCACACAAGAGATTAGTACAAAAACTGGAGGACCAAACAGGGATAACAGGGAAGGCACCTGGAGTTTACCTGGAGAGAGTTCCGGGGGTCAACGCCCCCGCGGCCCGGTCTGTGACCAGGCCTCCTGGTGGATCAGAGCCTGATCAACCAGGCTGTTACTGCTGGCTGCACGCAAACCTACGTACGAGCCACAGCCCGGCTGATCAGGAACCGACTTAGGTGCTTGTCCAGTGCCAGCTTGAAGACTGACAGGGGTCTGTTGGTAATCCCCCTTATGTAATGCTGGGAGGCAGTTGAACAGTCTCGGGCCCCTGACACTTATTGTATGGTCTCTTAACGTGCTAGTGACACCCCTGCTTTTCATTGGGGGGATGTTGCATCGTCTGCCAAGTCTTTTGCTTTCGTAGTGAGTGATTTTCGTGTGCAAGTTCGGTACTAGTTTCCCCCTAGGATTTTCCCGGTGTATATAATCATGTCTCTCCGCCTGCGTTCCAGGGAATACAGGTTCAGGAACCTCAAGCGCTCCCAGTAATTGAGGTGTTTTATCTCTGTTATGCGCGCCGTGAAGGTTCTCTGTACATTTTCTAGGTCAGCAATTTCACCTGCCTTGAAAGGTGCTGTTAGTGTGCAGCAATATTTCCAGCCTAGATAGAACAAGTGACCTGAAGAGTGTCATCATGGGCTTGGCATCCCTTGTTTTGAAGGTTCTCATTATCCATCCTGTCATTTTTTTTTAGCAGATGTGATCGATACAATGTTATG